CAACCAAACAGTTAATCTTGTTTTAAAAAAAATCTAAGAGACTTGACAAGAGTAACTGTCTCAAGTTGCAGTGAGGGAGGTTTAGGTTGGATATTAGGAAAAACTTTTTCACTAGGAGGGTGATAAAGCACTGGAATGGGTTCCCTAGGGAGGTGGTGGAATCTCCATCTTTAGAGGTTTTTAAGGTGAGGCTTGACAAAGCCCTGGCTGGGATGATTTAGTTGGGGATTGGTCCTGCTTTAAGCAGGGGCTTGGACTAGATGATCTCCTGAGGTCCCTTCTGTCATAAATATAAAGGGAAGGGTAAACCCCTTTAAAATGGAACCAGTCCCAGAACCGGAACCAGTAGAACAACCAGCACCAGACCCATTGCGAACACTGAATCCAGTACTTGCAACCTCAACACAAGAGGGCCCCACCAAACCTGAACCGGCAGCAGCCCATAACCCTACACAAGAGGCTCAGCCGGAGCCTGAACCCCAACATAGCGTCCCATCGGAGAGCGGTTCAGTCAACGGAAACAGCCCCATCCCCTACATCGCTTCCAGAGGGACCAAACATCGGTCCACAATCCCATGAGGAACTGATGTCTCCAGCATCAAGGGAACAGTTCCAGACCGAACAGGAAGCAGATGAAAACCTCCAGAGAGCTTGGACGGCAGCATGGAGCAACCCACCGCCTCTCAGCTCTTCTAATCGATCCAGGTTTGTTGTAGAAAGAGTACTTTTATACAAGGAAACTCTTTCTGGTGGACACCAGGAAGACTGGCATCCTCAGAGACAGTTGGTAGTTCCAACTAAATACTGGGCCAAGCTCTTGAGCTTAGCCCATGATCACCCTACTGGCCATGCTGGGTGAAGAGGACCAAAGACCGTTTGGGGGGAGTCATTCCACTGGGAGGGAATGGGCAAGGATGTTTCTACCTATGTCCGGTCTCGTGAAGTATGCCAAAGAGTGGGAAAACCCCAAGACCAGGTCAAAGACCCTCTCCAGCCACTCCCCATCATTGAAGTTCCATTTCAGCAAGTAGCTGTGGATATTCTGGGTCCTTTTCGAAAAAAGACACCCAGAGGAAAGTAGTCCATACTGACTTTCATTGATTTTGCCGATGGCCAGAAGCAGTAGCTCTAAGCAACCCAAGGGCTAAAAGTGTGTGCCAGGCACTAGCAGACATTTTTGCCAGGGTAGGTTGGCCCTCCGACATCCTCACAGATGCAGGGACTAATTCCCTGGCAGAAACTATGGAAAACCGCTGGGAAGCTCATGGGGTAAGTCACTTGGTTGCCACTTCTTACCACCAAACAAATGGCATGGTGGAGAAGTTTAATGGAACTTTGGGGGCCATGATACGTTAATTCATAAATGAGCACTCCAATGATTGGGACCTAGCATTGCAGTAGTTGCTCTTTGCCTACAGAGCTGTACCACATCCCAGTTTAGTGTTTTCCCCATTTGAACATGTATATGGCCGTGAGGTTAAGGGGCCATTACAGTTGGTGAAGCAGCAATGGGAGGGATTTACACCTTCTCCAGGAACTAATATTCTGGACTTCGTAACCAACCTACAAAACACCCTCCGAACCTCTTTAGCCCTTGCTAAAGAAAACTTACAGAATGCTCAAAAAGAGCAAAGCGCCTGGTATGATAAACATACCAGAGAGCGTTCCTTTAAAGTAGTAGACCAGGTCATGATCTTAAAGGCGCTCCAGGCCCATAAAATGGAAGCATCGTGGGAAGGGCCATTCACGGTCCAGGAGCACCTGGGAGTTGTTTATTATCTCATAGCATTCCCCACCTCCAACCGAAAGCCTAAGGTGTACCATATTAATTCTCTAAAGCCCTTTTATTCCAGAGAATTAAAGGTTTGTCAGTTTACAGCCCAGGGAGGAGAAGACGCTGAGTGGCCTGAAGGTGTCTACTACAAAGGGAAAAGTGCTGGTGGTGTGGAAGAGGTGAACCTCTCCATGACCCTTGGGCGTATGCAGTGACAGCAGATCAAGGAGCTGTGCACTACCTACGCACCAACTTTCTCAGCCACCCAGGACTGACTGAACGGGCATATCTCTCCATTGACACAGGTAATGCTCACCCAATTAAAGTCCAACCTTACCGGGTGTCTCCTCAAGCTAAAACTGCTATAGAACAGGAGATCCAGGATGTTACAGATGGGTGTAAACCGCCCCTCTGGAAGTGCATGGGCATCTCCAGTGGTTCTAGTTCCCAAACCAGATGCAAATGGGGAAATACGTTTTTGCGTGGACTACCGTAAGCTAAATCCTGTAACTCGCCCAGACAACTATCCAATGCCACACACAGATGAACTATTAGAGAAACTGGGACGGGCCCAGTTCATCTCTACCTTGGACTTAAACAAGGGGTACTGGCAAGTACCGCTAGATGAATCCGCCAAGGAAAGGTCAGTCTTCACCACACATCTCGGGCTGTATGAATTTCATGTACTCCCTTTCGGGCTGCGAAATGCACCTGCCACCTTCCAAAGACTTGTAGATGGTCTCCTAGCGGGATTAGGAGAATATGCAGTCGCCTACCTTGATGAAGTGGCCATATTTTCGGATTCCTGGGCAAAACACCTGGAACATCTACAAAGAGTCCTTGAGTGCATAAGGGAGGCAGGACTAACTGTTAAGGCTAAGAAGTGTCAAATAGGCCTCAGAGTGACTTACCTTGGACACCAGGTGGGTCAAGGAACTATCAGCCCCCTACAGGCCAAAGTGGATGCTATCCAAAAGTGGCCTGTCCCAAAGTCAAAGAAACAGGTTCAATCCTTCTTAGGCTTGGCCAATTATTACAGACGATTTGTATCGCAATACAGCCAAATCGCTGCCCCACTGACAGACCTAACCAAAAAGAAACAGCCAAATGCCGTTCAGTGGACCGGAAAGTGTCAGAAGGTCTTTAACCAGCTTAAAGCTACACTCATGTCTGACCCTGTACTAAGGGCCCCAGACTTTGACAAACCGTTCCTAGTAACCACAGATGAGTCCGAGCGTGGTGTGGGAGCAGTTTTAATGCAGAAAGGACCTGATCAAGAATTCCACCCTGTAGTGTTTCTCAGCAAAAAACTGTCTGAGAGGGAAAGCAACTGGTCAGTCAGTGAAAAAGAATGTTACACCATTGTCTATGCCCTGGAAAAGCTACACCCATATGTTTGGGGACGGCATTTCCACCTGCAAACCGACCACAGTGCGCTACAGTGGCTTCATACCACCACGGGAAATAAGAAAAAACTTCTTCGGTGGAGTTTAGCTCTCCAAGGTTTTCATGTTGACATCCAACACATCTCAGGAGCTTCTAACAAAGTGGCTGATGCACTCTCCCGTGAAAGTTTCCCAGAATCAACTGGTTAAAATCATCCTTGAGATGCAGAAAATATTGTTAGTTTTATGTACTTAGTAGTATATTTAGAGGTGCATGTGTCTCATTAACTGTTTTTCCTAGAGCTCCAGGAAGAAATCCCAGCCAGCATTTCACCCTAGCTGAGATTTGGGGAGCGAGTCATAAAATAAAGGGAAGGGTAAACCCCTTTAAAATCCTGGCCAGATGAAAACTCCTCTCACCTGTAAAGGGTTAAGAAGCTAAAGGTAACCTTGCTGGCACCTGACCAAAATGACCAATGAGGAGACAAGATACTTTCAAAAGCTGGGAGGAGGGAGAGAAACAAAGGGTCCGTGTCCGTCTGCATGCTGCTTTTGTCGGAGACAGAACAGGAATGGAGTCTTAGAACTTTTAGTAAGTAATCTAGCTAGGTATGCGTTAGATTATGATTTCTTGAAATGGCTGAGAAAAGAACTGTGCTGAATAGAATGACTATTCCTGTCTGTGTACCTTTTTTGTAACTTAAGGTTTTGCCTAGAGGGATTCTCTATGTTTTGAATCTAATTCCCCTGTAAGGTATCTACCATCCTGATTTTACAGAGGTGATTCCTTTACCTCTATTAAAAGTCTTCTTTTAAGAAAACTGAATGCTTTTTCATTGTTCTAAGATCCAAGGGTTTGGGTCTGTGATCACCTATGCAAATTGGTGAGAATTTTTACCAAACCTTCCCCAGGAAGTGGGGTGCAAGAGTTGGGAGGATTTCTGGGGGGGAGACGTGTCCAAACTACGTTTCCCAGTAAACCCAGTTAAAGTTTGGTGGTGGCAGTGGAAATCCAGGGGCAAAGGATAAAATTAAGTTGTACCTTAGGGAAGTTTTAACCTAAGCTGGTGAAAGTAATCTTAGGAGGTTTTCATGCAGGTCCCCACATCTGTACCCTAGAGTTCAGAGTGGGGAAGGAACCTTGACACCTTCCAACCCTGATATTCTATGAGTCTAAGATTCATTTTCATAAACCCACATGGATCGGCGTTAGTTACATTACCATCCTTTATATCTTTGTTAACTGAGTCCCATATCAGCCATCCTATTGTTTTCCCAATATTAATGTCAGGTCTCTAATTATTCAGGTGTGGCTTTTGGTCACACCAGTTCAGCCAGTTTACAGAAGCTATGCTGAGCTGCTGGGCTCTTAGGCACCCAGGAATAGCTTTGCTTGCTGATGGGAGAGACCTTTGCCTGCAGCAGCACTGACTGGATGCAGCCCAAGGCCAGCACATTGAGTACGCAGACACAGGGCTTCAGCCCAGCCAAAATCCCCTCACTGCGAAAACATCCAGAGCACTAGTACTGTTGGGCACTCCCTCTTTCACCTGCGCCGGCCTTCAGGCCCACAACAGTCAGACAGCCATCTGGTCTTCTGTGATTACCAGGCTTAGAGATTTATCCTAGTTGTGAGCTCAACTTTGTAAACTAAACATTCTTAATATGTCATAATAACCTTGAACAATAAACTCATGGAAAAAAGGTGCAAAAGGGACTTAATTTAAGCAAAAAGGCTTCCTGATATAACTCAAGGCATATGTTAAGATCGTGCTTTGTAAACAAAAGTGGGAGACTGGAAATCAATATAGCAAAACTGATTTATCAGAAATTAGACCTACTTGGTGAACAAAAGGATGAGTGGATGGGCTATTCCACCCACGATCACTCCCCTTCGGAGTCCCTACAAAAAAACGACAAAAGGGAGTTTGAGAGGATAGACACAGGGTTACATTAACACCCTTCACTCTTTGGGCCCATATCGTCCCTCAGTTTAAAGTAATACAACAGTGTGACGGCAAAATCTTTCCCTTTTCTCCTCCCACAGTTTACACTCCTCCTCCCTCAGGCTGTCTGACCCAGTGTTCTGCATGTGACAGAAGCCCAACCACCCTTTCACTACCTTTTGAGAGACAGTTTCTACTACCAGGCTCTTTCCCAGCATGGCACACAATTCCCATAGTCCCTCTGGAAACTACGGACTACAAGTGCATGAGTTCCATGCTGACCCAGGGCAAGGGTGATGCAGGGGCCCAGGCCTGCTTTAAATAGGTAGCAAGCACCTCTTCTAGAGCTTGGACACCCCTGGGCATGTCCCACCCAGACAAAGGGCTAGAAAGGCCATGGCACAGAGCTCTCTGTGACCCACCTGAGTTCTCCAACCCAGCTCAGCGCTGTTAGCCATGCAGCCCAAACCACGTTCAGCTTCACCCGGTGCAGCAACAATCCCCCCTCAGAAGGTCCTGTAGCAAACTCTTTGTAATTATGTATTCTGGCTGCTGCAAGGCTTCTGGCCACCCAGGGAAGGAAAACGGGACAGTTAGGCTAGGTCTACATGACCACGGTAAGTCATCCTACGCTACACAAGTCCAGCCACATGAACAACAGCGCTGGAGTCGATGTACCTTAGGTCGAATTACTGCAGGGTCTACTCCGCGGGAGGTCGACCAGAGAAAATCTCCCTTGACTTACCTTACTCTTCTCCTCTGGGGGCAGAGTACAGGGGTCCACTGCAGAGCAATCTGCAGTCGCTTTGGTGGGTCTTTACTCAACCTGCTAACTCGACCGCTAGTCTCAAAGACACAACACTTTGAGAATCACAGCACCTAGCAAAACCACAGGAACACCAAACCCCAAAGCCAAGTTAGGCTCCTTATGCAATTCCCAAAGCTAGCCCAGGCAGGGAGAAATTAAGCTAGCCCAGGGAAGACAACAGGGGTATGTGCTAGACCCCACATCTCTCAGAGACAGAGACCTAAGTCCAGGGATACTCCTGTTTTGCAAGCCACCAATGGGAACTTCGTGGCTGGAGTAAGGTGGTTGACACCTAAGCTACCTTTTAAGGAAACAAGTTATATACCTGCCTCACTCCACAGGACATGGTGAGGAGTGAGTGTGGTGCCCACCTTGTAACTTTCAGCCCAGGCAGAGCATCCAGCTGGGATGAGAGAACTAGGTTTAATTCCCCCCTCAGCTTGATGGGGAAAAAGTGCTCCCCCACCACTGAGATATAGGATGTTTGATGTAGGGCTCACTCATCTCTTGCTGAAGCTGCTCCACTACAGACAGAGCAGGGGGACTAGAGGCAGGGTCTCCCCACCACTTGACTTTAGGCACCCACTAAGTAAATATTTATCCAGAGCAAAACCATTATTAGGCTAGAGAGCAAGAGAAGCAATGACTAACCCTAATGTGGGCAACATGAATCCAGTCTAGCCTTTCATTGAAGGATGAAATTTTATAACAAGTTTAATCTACAGCCATTGGCTAGCAGCATTCCAATTTTTGGCATGGATATGTAGGAACTGGGGAAGTGACCTTGTAGCATCAATATACAGTAGAACCTCAATTACAAACACCACACCTCCTTAAGAACCAGAAGAAGGTAGTCATACAACAACAAAAGACCAAAAAACCAACCAAATACAGTACAGTGTTAAAAAAGATTTGACAAGGCAAGGAACTGTTTGTGTTTGTTTCATTTAAATTAATTTTGTTAAAAGCAGAATTTTTCTTCTGCATAGTAAAGTTTCAAAGCTGTATTAAGTCAACGTTCAGTTGTAAGCTTTTGAAAGAACCACCATAAAGTTTTGTTCCGAGTTACAAATATTTCAGTTATGAACAACCTCCATTCTCAAGGTGTTTAACTGATGTTTTACTGTACCTAAAGCACACCCTTTTTTTTTTTTTTAAAGAAAAACCTGTTTTTTGATATTAGAAATTTTGGTCTTATTCAGACTTTCACAGAAGACTATGAAAGTCTTGAACTAGCAGGGCTAGGACAGGAAGAAGTGAAGCCTGATTGAAAAAGGAAGTGAATACACTTAAAGGCAAACACATCTGGGAGAAGAGTTTCACTAAAAATGGAACCCCACCTCTCTGAAATCTCACTAGATTGTTCAGCTGGCTGGTACCATGGAGCAAGCAAAGATTTGTATGTGGAAAGAGTGCAAAGCCCTCCTCCCCACCTTTTTTTGAGCACTTAGAAGTAAGATGGCCCAAGTAGCACTCCTGGAGATACCCTAGGACCTGGAGCAAGACCACTATATCCTTTTCTAAGTCCTGCAGTCTCATGCCCCTTAGATTGCCATCCCTGCTCATTTCAGATCACAAACTGAACAGGTTTTTACAAAAGTTTTATTCAGCCTGATCATCCATTTATCGCCTTTAAAACTTCTGGAACTGCTTCTTGGTGCCAGCAGCCTTTGTGACCTTGAGGACGTTGAACCGGACTGTCTTGCTGAGGGGACGGCATTCCCCCACAGTCACAATATCCCCAATCTGGACATCCCTGGAAAAAAGCACAGCTGCTTTTAGATAGCTAAACAGCAGATTCTTTGCCACCAGAAATTTGTTCCTGCAGCACAAATGTGCCAGCCCAGCACTGAAGAGACTAAAGGCAAGTGAGCAAGACAACACTGAGAAACAGATTTCATGAAGACACCTTCTGCTGTTATTTAAGTGCCAAACAGGTGGCATTTCAGTAAGTGAGAGGTCCTCCATCCACCTCTCAACAAGGTCCTTCTAACCTTTGGTTTTGGCATGTGTGAAGCAAGCTCCAATATGCAAGACAGATAGCACACAAAGTTCCCACAGGAGACGATCAATCAAAATTAAAAACAAGTACTTGAGGACCCATTGCCCAGGCAAAGACTAGGTGTTTCCCTTGCAATCTTCATCTAGATATTTGGAAAAAGCTTCTTGCTTGGTTCTCAGGCACCTGAATTTGAACTGAAATGCTAATCAAGGACCTCCCAGAGACAAGATGATCAGAGTGGTGTTAAGCTACAGGACCCCCTCTCCCTACTCTCAGTACTTTTATCTTCACATCATTTGAAAGATTCCCTATATTCTGCTCTAGTACCTTTCTTCTAAGCATCTGAAAGAGCTTTATAAATACTTATTTCAGAGTAACAGCCGTGTTAGTCTGTATTCGCAAAAAGAAAAGGAGTACTTGTGGCACCTTAGAGACTAACCAATTTATCTGAGCATGAGCTTTCGTGAGCTGTAGCTCACGAAAGCTCATGCTCAAATAAATTGGTTAGTCTCTAAGGTGCCACAAGTACTCCTTTTCTTTTTATAAATACTTATGAAACTTTACGATCTTCAGGGAGGTAGGCAAGTAATGCTTGGTTACCGAGGGATAAATAAAGATTAGAGATGAAGTGACTTACTCAAGATCACAGAGTAAGTCAGACAGCACCAAGAATAGGGATTCAGTCTTTACTTAAGTTCCCTGTCATAAGTACTGCAAGAAGGCTTCCTCCCAGGAAAACTCATAAAATCTTTGACATTTACTAACTGGACACAAGTCACATGCAGACAGCTCACTTTATAAACTTCCCTACACATACAGGTTTGACAGTTTGCCAGAAAGTACCTGCACAGAGAAGCATTTGCTACTAGGGGCAGCCAGACCAGAACATGTTTTATGGTTCAGCATTGCCAGACTGGCATTTTCAGCAGTCCCCCTTCATCACAGGGGGCTCTGCAGACCATCGTGAGTTTAGACATCACCACCACCAAACAGGCTCTAGGTCAGGAGTGGCAAAAGCACAGTGCATGTAGTTTTACAGTGTTGCCTCACTTCATTTACGTTTCTAGACAGAAGTGCAGTCACCAACTACAATTCTGGGTCTCTCACGCTCCCCCTTTGATCGGAACAGCTTTCTGTTTGGGCCGAGACTGAGCATAGTATAGCTCTTGCAGCACATCTCAACTTCGAAGCACAGGCATGCTTTAACCTTAACACCACACTAGCAAGACAGGTGAGCGATTTCTATTTTACATATAGGAAAATGGAGGTAGAAGATAACCAACTTGCCCATGGTCACAGTCTCTATCAGAATGGATTAATACAAATAACCTGACTCCTCATCTTGAGCCCATCATTGCACTCTGGGGTCTGTAGTCTCCAGGGCTTCTATCTGGGTTAGTGAATGGCACAGGCCTGGTCTACGCTAGCGGGGGAGGAGGATCAATCTAACTTCACTATGTTATATGAATAACATAGCTGAAGTTGACCTACTTAGATCTACTCACCATCTTCACTGCGGTGAGCCTACTGCTGGCACTCCCCCGTCGACTCCGCCTGCACCTGTCACTAAAGTGGAGTAACGGAGTTGACGGAAGCGCGCTCCGGGGTCAATTTATCGCATCTAGACTCAACAAGATAAATCGACCCCCGCTGGATCAATCGCTGCCCGCCGATCCGGCGGGTAGTATAGACACCAACAGATGGACTATGTAATGACCTATGTAGAGCCATCAGGGCTCAGATTAGTGGTGCTGTGTTCCTCCCTTCAAATCACTGCTAGACAGTGTAGCCTCCAGAACTACTCCTGCGCTCACCTGAAGCAGGGGGAGAGATGTACAGACATATTCTTGTGGCGTTTCTCGAAACGGTTGTACTTGCGGATATAGTGTAAATAATCCCTGCGGATGACGATGGTACGCTGCATCTTCATCTTGGTAACCACACCTGCAGGAATAAGGGGGGTGGAGCGGGAAAGAATGTAAAGCACTCTTAGTTGTGGTGTTTGGTCTACAAAGTTATTCTGGTCATGTTTTTTGGTTTTTTTATTTAAAACCAACACAGCTTTGCTGGTATCAGCCCTAGTGCAGACACGTACCACTCTAATTGTGCTTCTGCCAGTATACTTTTGCTGGTTCAGAGAACTGATATAATTGCATCCACACTAGAAGGGCTTTGCAAGTTTAGATACACCAGCATAAGTACAATGGCAAAAGCCTCCTAGTATAGATAAGGCCAGAGACTTCCCAAAAGAAGCTCCGGTCTGGAGAGTAACACTCAGGTAATATAGACTCAGGCAGGAGACCGTCAAGGTTATGTAGCAAATTTTCCTATTATGCTACCCTGTAACTCTTACCAATGGTTTATAGTAAAATAAATCCAATACAATATAGTGCACTTACATAACTCCTTACAAAGCTTAAACCACCAACCTTGATTGTACAGACTGGAGACAGAGGAAGAGACTTGTCCCCTACCTTTCCCTGGAATGTTCAATAGGACCCTATACTTGGAGCTGTTGATTACCTACCCCACTGCTTTACCCATCCTCCTTCACGCATTAACAAAGGCACTACATTCCCCTCTATCCTACCCCGTATTACATTCAGAAGATGGCAGCTAATTAGTTATTCCTAATACTTGGTAAGGATTGGTTAGCTCTCTGAAATCCACTGTAGATTAGAAATGGATTACTCAGAATTTAAGCTTCAAAGGATGGTATCAGATAATTTGGGGCAACATTAGCAAGTCTGTAGCCTCTGCATGCATTTTTCAACAGCAACATGCCCCCTGAAGTTGATGTTCTCCTCACTATTGGGTCAATCAAAACAGTTCTATTTCAGTGTAATGGGCTTCTCCTAAGAAGGGTACTGCCACTGTCTCCTGGGTCCTTTCGCCAGGCATCAGCAAAGCCATTTGGCAGTGTCGTCAGAGTCCCTTCACCATGAGACTTGGAAGACCATCGTGAGAATAGCATCATTTGCAGCTCAGGACCATAGCAGCAGTGAAAAGAGGAGATAGTAATTATTTCTGGTAGGGAGCGTACAAACCCAGAGGAGGCATTTATTGTCTTAGGATCTGAAATCCTAAAGAGTGGGCTGCGCATTAAAGGCAAGAAATGGCTACCACCTTTAACAATAACCCCATATGCTGGGGTCTCTAGTTCCAGCAGGCTCAGACACAAGGACATCTGCAACGTGCTCTAGCCTATGCAAGTTCCAAACAATCCTGTTTTCCATTAATAAGCTCATATGCCTACATTTTGTTTAACTGATGGATCCAGATTCAAAACAGCTCTACTCACGCATTCCCCACAGGGTGTTCACGTAACCAAAAGGTTTTGAAATTTATCCGAAGTAATAATTCTACTCACAGAACAGAAGCGTTTCTTAGGCCTTACCTGACAGGATACGACCACGAATAGAGACATTACCAGTGAACGGGCATTTCTTGTCAATGTAAGTGCCCTCAATGGCCTGAAAACAGAGAAATCTGACATCAGTGCTCTGGAGCTAAAAAGTTAGTGAGTGCTGCAAAAATCTACCACCAATGAAAACTTGTTGCACCCCAGGTGGTGAATCTGGGTGCTACAAGAGGACTGGTACTGCAAGTCTGAGGCACATTGCCTCCTTTATTCCTGTCTGTATGAACTGACATCAGCAAGGCCACTGGGCAACTATCCTCAAAGCCCCTTCACCTGTGGGACTTGGAAGACCATCGTGAGAAAAAACATCACATGTCAGCATGGAAAAGGAACTGCTTTTCATAACCTCCTGGGTTATTCCCTGGCTGTTAACCTGCTACTGGGACAGAAATATTCTGGCCATCGACAGTCTGAATTTATTATCTCTATCCTACTGGATTTTAGTCTCCTAACCCAAGCGTAGTACTCTCTCCAGACTAACCCTTCAGCCTCCGCGGGGAGAACAAGTGAAGGAGTCACCCCCAAGGAACAGCAAGCCAAAGCCAGGGCCGGCCGCGGGGGGCTCACGCCTATGCACCCACAAGGGCACTGTTACCTCCTTGGGGGTCTTGAAGCCCAGGCCGATGTTCCTGTAGTAGCGGGGCAGCTTCTCCTTGCCCCCCTCCCCCAGCAGCACGCGCTTCTTGTTCTGGAAGATGGTGGGCTGCTTCTGGTAGGCCCGCTCCGTCTGCGCGGGGGCGGCCGAAGGAAAGCCGCGTTAGGGCGAGGGCAGCGGGAGACGCGGCGCGGGCCGGCCACGTCCCCAGGGCTCCGCGTGGGGCAGCCCCCTCCCCCCCCGCTCCCCTCCCCTCCCCCCCCCCAGCCCAGCCCAGCCCCCTCCCCCGCTCCCTCCCGCCCCCCCGCGAGTCCCGGCGCGGGCCGCGTCCCCGCCTCAGCCCCGGGCCGAGCCGAGCCGCCCCCCTGCGGCCCCGGGGCTGGTCCCGGCGGCGGCTGCGTGTCCCCCGAGCCGGCCCGCGCCGCGCCAGACCCCAGCAGGCCCCGCCTCGGAGCGGAGCCCTGACCTGCGTGTCCGCCATCTTGCACGGCGCGAGGCAAAAGAGGCCGCAAGCGATGCACGGGGCCGCTTATCCGCCGCCGCGCCGGAAGTGACCTCACTACGCAGCGCGCCGCCGGAGCAGGGGGCGGTGCTGATTCAGAAAGGGAGTCCGGTTCTCACCCCGCCCCCCGGAATGTGCGCGGGCCGCCCCTCAGCAGCCATCGCTCTGTGGGGCTAGCCCTCTCCCCACCCCCGGCAGCCATCGCTCTGTGGGGATAGCCCTCTCCCCACCCCCGGCAGCCATCGCTCTGTGGGGATAGCCCTCTCCCCGCCTCCGGCAGCCATTGCTCTGTGGGGATAGCCCACTCCCAGTTCCTAGCTGCCATCGCTTTGTGGGGATAGCCCTTCCCCACCCCCGGCAGCCATTGCTCTGTGGGGATTGCCCTCTCCGCACCCCCGGCAGCCATCGCTCTGTGGGGCTAGCCCTCTCCCCGCCCCCGGCAGCCATCGCTCTGTGGGGCTAGCCCTCTCCCCGCCCCCGGCAGCCATCGCTCTGTGGGGATAGCCCTCTCCCCGCCCCCGGCAGCCATCGCTCTGTGGGGCGGTCTGCAGTTGGGTTCCTTGTTTCCCAGGCGCTGCAGGCTGCCAGTAGCTTCTTGCCCTGAAGCCAGGGCTGGTGCAAGAGAAAATCGAGCAATGCGCGGGCGAGATGGTGGGTGTGAAGGGGCAGGGTTGCATTGACGGCTGCAGCTTCGAAGCCAGCCCACCGGATCCCAAATCGCTGCTGGCAATAGACAGGGACTGAGCACGTGGGGTGGGGCATTTTCAGGCCTAGCTGAGGAGAGCAGAGGGAGCTGGGCGGTTTCCAAGTGTGTTATTTTAAGAGAGACAGTTCCGGAGGTGGGAAAGTCCGGAGAGGGAAGATGGCAGCAGCTCATCTGGAACAGACCTGCCTGGGCCCCAGCAGCCTCCTCCCCAGCACCAGAGAGACCCAAGCAATGTTCGTGGCTCAGGTTCATAGAATCTCAGGCTGGAAGGGACCTCGGGAGGTCATCTCGTCCAACCCCCTGCTCAAAGCAGGACCAATCCCCAGTTTTTGCCCCAGATCCCTAAATGGCCCCCTCAAGGATTGAACTCACAACCCTGGGTTTAGCAGGCCAACGCTCAAACCACTGAGCTATCCCTCCCTCCCCCCTCCTGCTGCTGCGGCTGCGGGTTGGGCTGCTGAGATGAGGGGAGAGGCATAGCCGCCGACTTCTACTCGCACCGATGGGTGCTCGACCCCCACCCCGCCCCCCCCCACATTCAAAGGTCCCCGCTCCAACTCCGTCCACTCCCTGCCCCTATTCCAACTCCTTCCCAAATCCCCACCCAGGCCCCACCTCCTCCCCTGAGTGCGCCACGTGCCTGCTCCTCCCGCCTGCCTCCCAGAGCATGCTACGTCGCCAAAGAGCTGTTTGGCGGTGGCAAGAGCTGGGAGGTAGGCGGAGGAGTGGGGATGTTGCCGGCACCCAGTGCCGAGAGGCTGAACAAAAGCTTGAGTTGGTTCGTTACCCGGTGTGCTGCACCCAATAATCACAACGGGGTGGAGAAACAGAAAAGTTTATTTGCAGCTGCAAAAAGGTACAGGGAGAATAAAATCTCAAATCCTGCACACCAAGCAGGAAGTTACACAGGCTTTTATACATCCTTTTTCCCAGCATACTTATCCAATAGCAAGCTGCCCCAAGTATTCATATAGCCAGCCAATCCAGTTCCCAGCTAGTTCCCTGATTCTCTGTATCATTTGTTAAACTATACATAAAGCTGCTTTATTCAGCGTTGTTCTTCCATATCTCCCCTGTTTGGCCTTGCTTAGTTTCAGGCAGTCTGACTCTGCAACATATTGTTGCAGATTCTCAGCATAACTGCTGTGTGTGCCTCCAGGCGGGGGGGCAAGGACACTTGGGCCTAGTACGCAGAGCTGCTGCGAGTGCCTACAGGCAGGAGAGGGGGCCAAGGACGCCTGGGCCTAGTGCGAGGGGGCTTCATTGACACTCGTGGTCTTCCATCCCCTCGAGTTACCTAGTGGCCATGCCCCAGTGTCCCCAACAGGGACACGGCGCGCTCAGGGGAGGAGGAGGAGGTGAGGTCATAGGGGTGGGGGCTTGGCTGCCGGTGGGTGCAGAGCACCCACTAATTTTTCCACATGGGTGCTCCAGGAGGTTGGGGCTGCAGAGAAGCCATCCCCTCCCCACAAGTTCTGCCCTCTCAGGAGTCTGTTTCCAGGCATGACCAGGGAAAACGTTGCCCTCACCCCCAATGCACGTGATTATTTAAGGTTTTAGATTCAATCATATACAAAAATATGGGTCTGCTGGCTAGCTGCTCAGAGTGGGGGGCTGTCTTACCCTCTCCTAACTCTGAGGTTGGGGAACAGCCATTTTATCCCTATTCATCCTCCCACCCACTCTCCTCCCCTCCCCCCGTGATCCCCAAAATGGGGTGATTCCAGCTGCCAAAAAATCATGAGATGATGAGTAGCTTTAAAAATACCCAGACCATTCACCAACCTCACAGTGAACATCAGCAGCTTGGAACACACAGGAGCTGGGTAAATTCAAGGTCTCTGCAGCGGTCTTCATTCCCCAGCAATAGTTCTTGTCACCCCTCAGTGAGGGGGGGTAAATACTCCCCTCCCCACTATGCGAGAGGCTCAGAAAGTGACTGGTTTCTCTGTTGTGCTCAAGATTGACTAAAACTTTCACTCCTGCCCACTGTGCATAGGGCCCTGTTGTGAGATGTTCTCTTCAGGACTCTCGTCCACTGGTCTGTATGGAGCTGGTCATGGCTGGAAACAGACTCCTGAGAGGGCAGAACTTGGGGAGAGGGGATGGCTTCTCTGCAGCTCCAACCTCCTGCTGTTTGAGCCCCCCACAGCAGAGTCAATGCAATGTTTTCTAAAGCACACAGAGACCCAAGACACTCTGTTCCTCCCCCACACACACACACCTTCTTCTTCTGCAGGTGGGGAAGGGATGGCTGGAGGGGACACTGCTCCAGTGGGGCATTTTCAGGAAGATGCTGATGGGTGTGTCCAGTGACGAGAGGAGTCAGGTATGAAAACCTGCTGAAGCCTGTTTGAAATGGAGTCTAATGTTCGGTACAAGCTCATTGTGGGTTGGGAGGCAGAATTCCCTGCACTTTGGAAGAGGAAACCTCTCCTCTGGAGTAGAAAGAGAGAGCCTGAGACATGAGGCCTGGTAGAAGAGGCCCAGTATGAGGCCTGAACTAAAGTCGTGGTCAAGGCTGGCTAATATAAAGCAAAGTTAGCAAAAGTGAGGCTCTAAGCAGAAGTCGGGCTCTGCCCGTGTAACCTGGCAAGAACAGAGCTGGTATTGCAAAAACACACATTCGTAAGAAGTGCTAGACACAGGACACTCACGTAAAACATTTCAGAAGGGTGGTACCAGAACACCCCTATACCAAGGATGATACAAACACACTCCCCAAAGGTGATGCTAGGACACACCACATCAGAGGGGCAGTACGTAACTTGTTTGTATCAGTGTATAAAGAGGGGTCTCAGAGGGGGCCTCTTTGGCTGGCCTCGTAGGGAATGGAAAATCTCGCTGCTCACTGAGTTGGTCCATTCATGTGATAGTGTACCTGTAACCACTGAGCTGAGCATCTGCTGTGACGGCTATCTGTGCAGAGCTGGGACAGCACACAGAAGGAACACACACATGCAGCCAACAACTAACTACACCCTCCAAAGGAACCATCGGCCATTACCTCAGACCCAGTGCTTCACTCTGTGGGAGAAGCGGCTTCTGGATGTGTCTCCAGCCTTAGAAGGGTAAATAACAGTGTCACCAGGAAACATCTGACCAGGTCCCTCAGCCCTGCCAAGGCCAAAAGGTAGCCTCAGAGAGGAAGCCAAAGGAATGAAAGTGCGGGGAGGAATTCTGTTAGTGCAAAAGCATTTTTGGTGCCATCGAATTACAGTAATAATGAGGGGAGAGAGACTGAGCTGTGCAGGGACATGAGGGGAGTGTGGGTTTGGAATAAGGGACACACCCTGGGAAGAAGGGGTCAATAGGTAGGTGACTCTGACCTGGGATTTAAGTGAAGTACTGTATTCCTTTCAATAAGAAGCACTAGATAAGGAAGAACAGACTTGAAGTGTCATCCCAGCACATCTGAAATGCAGTTTATGGTGGATCCTGCGAGCATCAAGCTGATTATGTGGGGAGAGAGCGCAAACCATTTAGGGTATGTTGGCACTGCAGTTGTTCAAGTCATAGAATCATAGAATATCAGGGTTGGAAGGGACCTCAGGAGGTTTTTGTTGCCCTCCGCTGGACTCTTTCCAATTTTTCCACATCCTTCTTGTAGTGTGGGGCCCAAAACTGGACACAGTACTCCAGATGAGGCCTCACCAATGTCGAATAGAGGGGAACGATCATGTCCCTCGATCTGCTGGCAATGCCCCTACTTATACATCCCAAAATGCCATGGGGCACGGGTCACTTGCTGGAGGATTCTCTGAACTTTGAAGTCTTTAAACCATGATTTGAGGACTTCAATAGCTCAGACATAGGTGAGAAGTTTATCGCAGGAGTGGGTGGGTGAGATTCTGTGGCCTGCGTTGTGCAGGAGGTTGGACTAGATGATCATAATGGTCCCTTCTGACCTTAATATCTATGAATCTATTAATCTATTTGGGCTGCTGTGGGCTCATGCTAGGTGGGGTGGGTGTGCCTATGCAAACAAGATCAGCCCCTGAAGTTCTTTTCCACAACTCGCCACAATTCACCACCAGATGTCAGGGTAGAGCTCATCCTGACTCTGCTTACAACTATCCGATGAAGTGAGCTGTAGCTCAGGAAAGCTTATGCTCAAATAAATTGGTTAGTCTCTAAGGTGCCACAAGTACTCCTTTTCTTTTTGCGGATTCAGACTAACACGGCTGCTACTCTGAAAACTATAAAATATTTACCGTACTATTTGTGATAAAGTGTGTAACCCCCCTCACTTTGCTTCTCTCCCTTCACAGGCAACTTGAGCATTTCTGAGCCCGACCAACACGTCAACCACCTCATGGCAGTTTTCAACCTCACACCCTCTGACCCTTCAACATTCACCCTAACAGGCATCCCTAGCTTGGAAGCTACTC